TTAAAATCACAAAAAGAGCCCTTGGTCAGATTTAAGGTCAAAATCACATGACAAACCGGAGAAAGATGAATGCTCAGCCTTTCCCCAGAGCAGTTTGAAGCCTGGAACGGAAGCTCTCAAGAGAGCAGTTTTCCTGCTCAAACCCAGTGCCTCCCCCTTACCTCTGCGTAATCAGCCACGAGGTAAAGCTCCACATACTTCATGGAGTGCAAATCTTCCCTTTTCATCTAAGAAAGAGATGAAAGCAGATCAGAGCTGGAGAAATGGTGAACTTGGCCGCACACAAAAACCTGCCAACGGTGCTCCTTAATAAACGGGGGCCTCCTCACCCATTTCGTCTTTGGGTACCAGAGACAGTCCCGGCCGTGGTCGCCACCACCCTCACGACACCTTCCACCCACCGTCTTGGTTATCACCAGAGGCTGCTCTGGGATTTTGGATCCAGTCCTCCAGGCTCGAAAAATAGTGAGCTGGGTGGGCTGGCGAGTACAGGCAGAACAGAGGCCAACATACCGTGAAGGAACACGCTAACAATCCAGTTCCCAAAAAACATTTAAACCACATACCTCTATTTTCGGTATAAATAAACCCAAGCTTTTGTCATATTCCAAAAAGGGAGGCATGTGTTTTTTCCTCACATTTTGAAGTTTCGGAAATTTGCATCTCAGAAGATTTCAAATGTAGTAGTGCGCTCCCCAAAGCAGTTATTCTACCAAATACAAGGGTGTCTCACACTCAACAATGACTTAGAAAAAAATCAAAAAGCTATTCCCTTCTTCTCAGCCATCTCTCTCTAATTCAGAATTACTGCTGGATGCAAAGTTAAGGTCCTTACAGGGGACAAGACTATCCCGAGGCTGACTCCCGCACCGAGACACTCACCCGGCGAGGTCGTTTCGTGGCCAGGTTCGTAAACGGAAGGGCCCAGTCCCTGGAGCTGGGCTTGGAGTGCCTGAACCCACAGTTCCCAGGGGGCACCTTGAGATGTTCAGATCTGTAAATAAGGTGGTAGCCCTCGCTGTCAGGGAGGGGCTCGATGATGTAGCTGAGGTTACTGTTCACCACAATCAGTCCTCTGTCGATAGAAGAAATAGAATCTTTGGTCAAAGATTCTGGTCCTGGAAAAGTCCCTTGCTCAGGCCTCAGTTTCCCCATATGCAAAATGTCACAGCTGGTTTTGATCACTGGTTCTTAACTTTATTGTGGGGTCACGTACCCTTTGGTGAGATGCAAGGTCAGACATCCTTTCCAGAGAAATGCTCGTGTATGTGAAATGTGGTATACCACAAACCCAAACATGGCAAATGGCAAATCGCAGGTTGAAACTTTTATAGACTCAGAAAAAGATGGAATGGTAACTAGAGGAAGAACGCTAGCCCGGGGGTGAGGAGACCCACGCCCTGGTCTTAGCTCCAACATTAAACTGTCAGCTGCTCTTCAACCAATTTCTTAAATCACCCTGAGCCTCAGTTTCCCCATGTTTAAATATAAATGATAATTTATTAATTTATCAGAACTCTTGGGATAATTAAAAGGGATGACAAGTATCTCTGGAAACCAAAGCTGGAGGCATCACTGATGGCATTCCTAACTAGCCCCAACTTCCCCGTCAGCAAGGCCGCTCATTGGTGAAGTGACGTCCACAACCAAGCATGTGTAAATACTCTTTCTCTTTGAAAGGAGAAAAAGACTTGTTCGTTCACTATATTCTCTCATTCACTGAGCCCTTACTCTGTACTACATGTACTGTAGACATCATGCCCATTGTCGAGTAATTCACAGCCCACTGGAGGACAGACAGTCGTTCATTCCATGAATATTTCCTGAGCTCGCTCCTTCTACGTGCCAGGCATTGTGCTAGTTGCTGAGAATAGAGTAGTGAACAAGACAAAGTGCCTGTCCTCATGGAGTTTAGAGTGTTATACAGAATATAACAGAGACGACAAAAGGGTTTCATCACCCCTAACACTGATGAACTGGACACCACTGTCTGGAATGTGGCATCTGTGAGGTTTCGAAGAGCTTTATCTGGACTCAGTGAGAAATAGTGCCATGAATTATCAATCACCATGGCAAACAATCGATGGAAAGGTGAATAGAGGCCCATGTGGCAGGTATCTGCCATCCTGATGCAGTGAGATGAATACGTGGGAATGCCCCCAGGGCTCTGGGGGAGGAGGAAGCCTCGCAATGAGCCGCAGAGGTCCCAGCAGCATTTCGTGAGCTCCCCAACCTCAGGCTCTCACCCACCTAGAAAGTTCAAAAGCTAAAATATCCCCGATTCAGTCTTTGCCACTTCAAATTGAAAAGACCTCTCTCTTTAGCTGTCTTGGCTTTCACCCCACCCCCAACCTCTCAGGATCCCTGCCCCAGTTTTGCCCTTTAGAAGGAGCCTGTGATGCTCGCAGGGGACACAGTGCCAGGTTTTGATCAGCAGTAGCCCTTCCTGGAATCCACTCCTGGCTGACCTCATTCCAGTGCCGGGGAGCCTGCCGACTTCCCGGCTGCCTCGCCCAGGCTGACGCAGCAATCCTGCAGCGGCCCCTGGGCAGGACACCCAAGGTGCTCCCCAAACAGCTGGAGTGGAAATGGGGCAAAGGGCAAGGGTGACATCCGCTCCTGAATCCAGACAGGAAAGGGCAGAGGGTGGACCTTCTGCGGGCATCCTGTTCCCAAACTATCTCCTCATCTCGGCTGACCAAGGCCCTTTCCGTCACCTCAGTTTCCCCCAATGGCTATAAACATGGGAAACACAGAGGGCTGGACCACAAAACAGCTGACGGTTTTGTGTGCACCAGGTTGTAGCTGTGGAGATAATACCCAGTGAGTGAGAAGCTCCATATAGGGACTGGGGAAAGTTCCAGTGTAGCTGATTGAGTATCACTTGAATAAGCCTCTGTGCCAAACAGGACAGAGACCATGCCAAAGGATGTGCGTGGTGAGTAACAATAATCATGGTGGTTACAAATCACTGAGCCTTTGCTATGAACCTGACACTGTGCTGAGTATTTTACTATCCACACCAGCTTCCATGATCCTTACAAATATACCCATTGTACAAACGAGAAAACTAAGACTCAGCAAGGCTGATTAACTGACTCAAAGTCACAAAGTTGGTAAGGACCTACGCAGTCTGGTTCCAAGTCCCACAACCTTACCCATGACCTCACACTGCCCTCTGTCACAGCAGTCCCATAGAATGGATCAGAAAGATAGCCCGTTTACAGATGGCTACAAGTGACTGGCGACAGCAACTCTTCTCTGGGGCGTGACAGGCCACTACCCAACTGGCCTGGCTGACGTAAGACACCATGGTTCTTATTTCATTCTCACGTCAATTCTATAAGGCCCCATCATGAGTCCCATTTTATAGATGAGGAAACTGAGGCCCAAAGAGATTAAACAACAAGCTCTCATGATTTAAAGTCCGGTAGACTCTGGACCCATACCCTTAACCTCTATGCTGCCTGCCTCCATCAGTGAGTTCTCACCCTGTGGGTCAGAGATCTCTAAGGTTAGAGCCCCCAGAGTCATCTATTAGAATATTCTACAGAGTGCATTAAAAATACAGATGTAAAAGACTCGGATTCTGCAGGTCTGAGCATCGGCACCCTTAGCAGGTCCCACAGTAATTCCTTCCCGGCCACATTCAGGAACTGTGGCCTGGAACCCACCTTTTCAGAAAGCCCCAAGCAATTCTGTTTCAGGGAGTGGGCAGATTACAATCTGAGAAACACGGGCTCAAAGGACACTGAAGGTCCTCCCAGCAGTAAGATTCTGTGGCTGCTCCCCTCCTCCCCCTACTGTAGCCCCTGGTAACTCAAAGCTACAATCCTCCCAGACTGCTGGGGGAGGGAGGGGAGGCTGGCACAAGTCTCAGCACTTTACTGCGAACTCCAGCTTTGAAAGTGGGGGGATTTCTGAGAATCTAGTTCCTAAGGTCTTCCCCCAAGTCCTGCGAGCACCCACCAGCCACTTATCCTTCTAGCAGCCTCAGTTAGTCTAATTTGCTAAATATAAAGCACTGTCAGAGCTACACCAGGGGCATGGGAGGGGGGCACAGAAGGCTGGGTGGCTGGGACCTCACATGCTATTCTCTAGGCCGTCTCGATCCCATTCCTCACTGTTAACAGTTTGACACAAATGAAACTGTACAGAGGAACCCTGGCAGGCGACAGGCGATTCCAGTTTAACCCCGGAGTGACCGCAGGACGCACACACATGCATGCTTCGAGGAACTAGGCAAGACTGCTGCTGGGAATTTATCCACTCAGAGCCCGAGGGGGCATATCCTACAGCTAGAGCTGCCCCAGATGTACTCACCCTGATACCCCTCAACCCCAATTTGCATTCAAGTGAGAAAGAGTTTCGGGGACTTTCAAAGGCAGCACAGAAGCGAGGAAGGAAGGCGTTCAGGTGATGTGCTCCATCTGGGTGGGGTTGGGAAGGCACAAGTGGAGAGCACGGGCTCAGGGGATGAGACACATCTGGATTCGAATTCTGGCTCTTCTATTAGCTTTGTGGTAAGTCACTCGTTAACGCCGCCCATCTCACGGGGTTGCCATGATCATTGACAGAAGCGACAGGCAATATTTACTAACAATCAAAGTAGTATTTAAAAACAGCAGTCTTCGAGCACATATCATATATTGAGCAGGATACAAAGCATTTTATTCTGTAGCCATTCAACGCAGGCACTGGGGATACAGCGTGACGAAGAAATAAAGATCCTTGCTCCCAAGAGGTTGTGCTTGTCGCCTAACGTAAATCCACCAGAGACGTTATTACGACCACAGTTCCTACTTTCCAGGTGAGAACACTGATGCTAGAGAACTAAAGAAACCCGTGAGGTTTTGAGCCGAGAATTCTCCGATCCCAGAATCTACATCTGTCGCAACTTATTGGTACTGTCCTGTGAGGGCCTACTCTGTGCCCGACAGAGGTAGTAGCATTTATCATCTGTTCTGCAGAGGGAAGGCCAGCTATTCAAAGGGGAAAGGGGCCAGGCCACTCCTTGGCAAAGGGGCAAAACATTCATATGCATACTCTTGCATTCATTCTCAGTTTCCGATTCTCTCACAGAATTTGAATCCAGGGAACAGAGGTAAGGAATAACCACAGTGAGTGTGGGCCTCAGAATTTTGAGGACAGATCTGCTATAATATAATAGCGATGCATCCAATAGATCACTACAGATGATCTACTGTGTGTCTTTGACAGACTTACTATGCAATTAAACTTGCCTGACATTAGAAAGTAAGAAATTATGCAGCCATTCAAAGAATGAGGTAGATCTATATGTGTCAAAGACAGAATGTTAAATAGTAAAAAATAAAATAAAATGAAAAAAAAATACAGAATGGTATGTATAGGGTAATCTCATTTAGATATCTAAAAATCACATATACATGCAACTATGTATTTCAAATATGTATACCCCAACAGTGATTATAGATGGGGAATGGGATTGGTCAAAAAGGTGAGACAGGATAAAGAATTTCCACTTCTTTTAGTTTTACACTCCTGTACTATTTGAATGTTTAACACACAGTTAGTTATGTAATGATAATTTTTAACAAGCATTTTCTTTAAACATAAACTGACCAATCAGGCTTTTAAAAAAATGTTTTTACTGCAATCAGTACCTCTCCTGCTGACAGATAGTGAGCTAGGGACAGACACACAGGCACACAGACACAGACACAGACACAGACAGACATACACACACACAGTGTCTCACAGACTCCACAGATTCAGTCAAGGGCACTTCTGTCCAGTGCCATCTAGATTTCTTCACAAATGATCTTCACTCCTTACATTTCTATTTCGTGTTAGTTTGCAAAGCATTTGTGAATGCAAGAAATCGTGCAGACATTTGGGGGATGAGTCCTTCACTGGAGACAGGTGTGGGGGGTATGGACTCCCCAAATCCCTAACGAAATGGTGTGCCACATATTTTTATCAGTGTAGTTTATAAATACCCATATTTGCCACTCAATTCTCAAAGGGGTCAGTGGCCCAAATAAGATTACAAAACATTGTATTACATATCTATGTTCTTTTTTGCCAGGAATATTTCTAAAAAGACTGGTTAACAATGGCTGCCCCTGAGGAAGGGGGATTCAGGAATTTGGGAGTGAGAAAGAAATCTTTCATTGTACACTCCTGCACTACTTAAATTTTTTTTTTTTAATTTTTTTTTTTTTTTTTTTTTTTTTTACTATGATCACGTAGTATTTATTCATTTAAAGTAGCCTAAAGACTTGCTTTGGAGAGAAGAGGGGGCCCAGCCACAGTCTAGAAGCTCAGCTGAATTCCTCTGTATCTGTACCATCGGCCTGAAGACCCCGCTTGGTGTAAGTCCTACCTATTTTCCCCAATCACATTCTCATGTTTCCGGGAGAGAAGCGTAATCACTGAGATTTTCCATTGCGGCATCGCTTTATGAGCCTGGGGAGAGATTTGAGTGTTTGAAGGCTGCTGCTGCTGCAGCTGCTCCTTCTCCAGAGTCTGAATGGAGCCATCTGGCATGAGTCTTCGGCTCTTAAATCAGTCAGGCCCACAGACACCCTTGGTTTCTTAGAGTGTGTAGTGAGACGGCTGGGAAAGTAAGGCGGGTGGACCCCACCGGAGGGAAGCATGCAAAACAGAAACACATGGGTGGCTCACCCGGTTTCCCCCTGTCAGCACGGCTGTGGGAATCATTTACCAAGGCCAAGCCAAGTTCCCACTGCTCCAGACCAAGGGGACAGAGGAAGAGGCAGAGAGAAGCAAGTCACACCTGCACATTCCCTGTCCTCCTCTTTGCGAAAGACCTTTGTTTACTTGCAGACTGCAGGTGGTGGTGGCTGGACCTGTAAACACCACCAGGAGGCCAGTTGGCTTGGCTCAACCAGGTCACTTGAGCAGGGGATTTGGGGCCACGGTTATGGTCTCCCAGCCAAGCTTGTTTCCTGTCTAATTCCCTCCGGTGACTCACCACGAAGACTTACAGGGGAGACGTGGCCCAATTTATAAACAAACACGTAGGATCTACAGCATGAGAGGCCTTGCATTTGCATGTGAGCCTGGGTAAGTCTGAGCATGGTTTCACCGTTACAAAACGGTGTGAGACGGTAACAATCCCATATGCCTGTAGAGTGCTGCAGAGTTTACACAGCACATCACGTTCCCTGCCATGCCTATCATCGATGTCCGTTTCACAGAGGAAACCGAGGGCTCAGAAAAGAACTTTGCAATGCCTGTCTTTCTTCCACCTGTGTAGGCTATGGGCACAGAGTAGGCACCAAAATTAATCTGTTGACTGAAAGAAACAATCGTTGAATGAATCAGTTGACCGAGAGGAAGGGCGCACAGAGGAAACGCCTCCCGCGGGCTCGTGAGAGCCAGCCGTGTGTGCGGCGTCCCCATTCTGCGGTCAGTAACATCGTGTTGACAGCTTTACATTGGTCACGGTGGGAGTATTTTTGCGAGCATATTGGCAGATGCCACTAATCAGGGCTTTCTTTTCCTTTTTCTTTTTTTCGTAGAGCCAGTTTGTCAACACATTGGGTATAGGTACCACATTAAAACCTAGGTAATTAAAACCTAAACAATTGGTATAAGCAACTAAAACACAGGTTTTTTCAGATCTCTTTTCCAAAAGGAGGAGAGTGTGGGAAGAGTCTAAATAAATTATATTCATTACTTCAACATACATGTAAAGATCCTACTACATGCAAAGCGCTCAGGCAGGCTGGAGGAGAAGAACAGATATTTGAAATATAATTCATATTCTTAAGTACAAACTATAATGTGCACACGAATCACCTGGGGATTTTTCCAATATGCCACCTAGTTGGAACTTTTCAGTTAATATTTTTATCTCGAAAACTATCCTTGCTTTTCCTTTCTCTTCCCTCCCTATCTGTTCATTACCTACCCCTTCCTTTTCACCACCTATATATAGGTACTTCTACCAGAGAAGAGCAAAGGAGGAGTGGGAATAAATGCTCAGACTCATCAGTTTCAAGTGTATGAACCATGTCTTTTTTTTCTGTGTTCTGACACTATGACATCGGGGGCATTGGTTAGCCACTTCCTAGAGACGGTAAACAGCTCTCCGGTGACCACACCTTTCAAATGTGGCTTCCACGCTCTGGACCACTCTTCCCCTGTCCTGTTCACCCCAGGCCAGGTACCAGACACTAGAGACAGCCTCTATGCCCCAGATTCCACTGAAATTATTCAAGCTAATCAATCCTGAGCCTCACCTGTTCCTTCCTGCAGAAACACAATAAAGACTCTCAACACATGCCAGCGCCCCCCCCCCGCCCCCCGCTCCCTCTGCCTCCTGACTGACCCCTGTGCTCCCTGCGTGTCCCCGCCTCCTACACGGCATGCCCCCACCTCTTGGGATCTCGAGTACAATAAACTGTCTTTTCAATGGCAGTTGTCTCCTGCTCTGTTGGCTTCACCATACCTGAATAACACTAAAACTTTAAGTTCCTCAGGAAAAGGAAAGCTCATCCAGTGAATTTATGGATTATCTAGGATTTCGCCGTCCCTCCCAAGCCCAGCCTTTCTCAGAGCTGGCTTGCTCACACTCTCCAGGTGCCTGCCCAAGGCCTGCCCTGCTTGTCCTGAAAATCCCATTCCTAGGGAGAGTGCCAGGTGGCCCTAGCACGGTCAGGGCCTCTTACCTCATTCCTCGGCAAGTGCTGAGTGTGACACTGGACTGTTCTGCCTTCCTCACCATCCCGTGGTAAAAGCAGTGATCCTAGCAAGGAGAAATGGGTGGTTAGACCAGAGAACACTCATAAGCACGGCAATGTTAATGTCTCGTGCAGGTCACGGGTGATTTGATATCTAGCATAACCTCACAACCTGCAAAGAGTTTTTCAAGTTTCCATTTCATTTGATCCTCATAATAGTCCTGGGAGGTGGGACAGGGCAGATGTCCTCATCGTCACAGAACAGATGAAGAGACTGAGGCTTAGGGAAGGAAAGAAATTTGCCGAAGGTCCCCCTGCTGGTTGGAGAACCAGGACGCCAGAGCTAGTTCAGAGCTTTCTGCATGGCGCCATGCTGGCCACAGCAAACGCCCGCTTCTGAAGAGCCAGCCGCTCCCATGAGAATCACCTCTGTGATCCCCATAGAGGGGTAAATAGTGTTCTCCCAAAATTCGTGTTTACCCAGACCCTCAGAATGTGATCTTATCTGGAATAGGGTCTTTGCAGATGTAATTAAGATGAAGTCACATTGGACTGGTGTCCTTCTAAGAAGAGGAGAGGACACAGACGACACACACAGAGAAGAAGGCCAGGTGGTAACAGAGATTAGAGTGATGAAGCTACAAGTCAGGGGCCATCAGAAGCTAGGAAGAGGCAAGGAAGGATTCTTCCCTAGAGACTACAGAGGAAGCCTGGCTCTGCCAACACCTGGATTTCGGACTTCTAGCCTCCAGACCTGTGAGAGAATACATTTCTGTTGTTTTAAATCTCTAAGTTCATGGTACTTTGTTACAGCAGCCCTAAGAAATGAATAGCCCCCACTCCCCAGCTCTTCCGCACCTCCCTGAATCCCTGAGTGCCTGGCTCTGACTGAATTTGGCACCTGCATCCATGGCTGCACAGAGGTCAGATGCTGTTCTCTAGTCAGTGTGTCTCAGGCCCATCTGGTCTTCCCAGCCTGATGGATTCCTTCGTGACCACAAACAGCTGCAGAGCACCGCTCTGTGCCAGGCCTCCGGATGGGCCCTGGAGACTCAACAGTGAGCAGACAGACACGGCTCCAGCCTTCGTGGGACCTATGGTCTGGTGAGAGCCAATCTTAATTAAAAAGATGTAATTACAAACCATGAAGAGTGGCTTGAAATAAAAGTTGGAGGTGCCAGCAGAGCATGTTCTAAGTAGGGTAACCAGAGCACTCAGGAGGCAAACCAGGACATTGCTGAGTGCTGACGTGCAAAACCAGACAACGGGCGCAAACCAGGACTGTCCCGGGCACAGCGAAGGGTGATAACAAGGGCCACATCCCTGCACGCTCCTTCTCAAGTGGTCAAGAGAGAGAAGACGAAACCCAAAGGTAAAGCCAGATTATGAAAAGCTCTTAAGAAAGATACAAGCCATGCGGTTGCAGACATGGAGCTTTCTCTTCCCTACTCCCCCGCACCCTGGCCCTGAGCAAGGCCAACCAGAAATTTCTGGCATTCGCCTACGTAACAGTCCAAGTGATCCATCAGCAGGACCATACTTGCTCATAGATGTTCCTTGGTCCCCAGAAGGCAGGAATGTGACCCAGGAGACCGCTAACCCATTCGTCTACACTGTCTGGCTCCACCTCCTGCCCAGCTCTAGGCACCAGTACAGCCCAGATTCAAGCATTTTGGCACGGCCAGGCCAAATTTAAACGCACTCTCTCACACCTACCAGCTACATGAACAGTTCCACAACCTCTCTCTTCAGTCTCTACCTCGGGGGTGGTTGCGAGAGCACCATACATCAAGGAGCTAGTGCAGGGTACCCGACCCAGAGCAGCTGGCAACAAACATTAGTGATCAGCACTACATTCTCCTTGGTCAAAGGCAGAACGTGGCCTTGAGGGAGCTGGAAGCCCACCAGGGGCTGAATCCTCAGCCTTAGCCACACCAATCCTACATCTCGCCCAGCTGAGCCATGCAGCCAGACCACAGCTTACGGGCCAGGCTGACACTCAACTTAGGATCAGTCTCTGCACCACCGGTGCCCTTTCACCTACTGATAATCCTTCGGCCAGCAGGGATGGGCGTGAAGTTTCCTTGTATCACTTCCCATCTTTGGATTGATGCAAACAGTGCTCACTGCCTGGATGCTCTCTGAAATAGCATTGCAACGGACTTTAGAACATGCCTTAAATTTACAAAGGCCTTGCACATGCATCACGGCATGTGATACTCATACCTGCCGTTCACTGTCAGTAACAATAAGGGCGAACGTCTATCCAGCTCTTACAGCAAGATAAACAACTTACGTAGGTCTTTTTCCCCTTTAATTAAGACCGCAGCCTTATGAAGTAGATATTATTATTCCCATTTTTTAAAAAGGGAAACTAAAGGTTGGAGAGGTTTTATCATGATTCACAAGGCCACGCAGAACGAAAGTGGAGACTCAAACCCCAGAGGCCTGACTTCAGCCTCTATGCTCCACCTCTCCGAGCAAAAGCGCCCAGCAAAGCGCATAGGAATTAATTTGTCAAAACTGTGTTATCTTCTGGCACCAATGGGGACCTGAGTTCCAGTCTAAGCCTGGCCACTTGCTGGTTATCTGAACTGAAGCATGTTACTTTTTCTCTTCTCTCAATTTCCTCATCTGTAAAATGTGGCGTTGGAAGAGATGTTTACAAATTCCCATAAAATCAGTGATTCATCTTACCCTTCCATAGCCCTGAGAGTCAACCCTTAGCATATCCAATTTTCAGAGGAAGAAATTCAACACTAGTGTAGTCAAAAGGGTTGTGTAAGGTCAAATAGCTAGTCAAAGCCAAGACTAAAACCCTGGCTTCAGACCCCAAACTCTGTAACTCCTTCTATTGGAACACATTTACAGGCCCATCCCCTCTCCACCCCTTCCCTGTGACCAGATCTAGATTAGGGGACAAGTCTGATAAGGTTCCCAGACCTCCTGTTGCCCCAGGCCAAGTTTGGTATTAGAGTGTGGTCCTCAACATTTGGGTCGAAGGCAGCTAAGTGGATTACTTCATTCCCTTTTCTCTTTGAGTCTTCAACTCCCAAATATAAGAAAGCCCATAGGAGCCCCAAGGGGCTGGGTGGGGGCTCTGCTCTGCTCTTCATTAGCCGGAGATGTAAGAAAAACAATGAGTGGCACCATACTTCAGCTAGGATATGCTGCAGTCAAAAGACCTTCCGGAAGGAGGGGCATTGTGGGAGTGAGGGGAAGTCCTCTCCCATTCCTCCGTTTCTGAAAGGCCTCTACAATATCTCTGCTTAATTCTGAGAGCACAAAGAACAAGTGAATGAAGTCATGAAGTCATTGCATTCCTTCCCAGCTTCTGGGCCTGAGGCGGCCACCCCCAGGGGGCTTTCACAGCAGGAAGCATGAGCTCACAGCAGACTTCTGCACTGAGACCCATTCTTCAGCTGTGGGTATACAAATGCAGGAGCCGAACTTGGAGGAGGTAGTACTTTGTGAGGTAGTAAGGGCTAGGGCTTTCGAGGCGCACCTGTCCTCTCCCCACGGGGCACTGAAGAAGGTGTGTGGACACACCACAGCTGGACAACTTCCCCAGAGATGAAAAATCAGAGCCAACATGCCTGCTGAGGGCACCGCCCACACTGCCGACTCCTTTCCCATCCAAGAAAGTCTTGATGAAGAAGGCAACACTGATCTTCATACCAGTAATCCAATGTAGCCCCTCAGCTACCTAGCTACTATGTGCTCTGGACCACTCAGACGTATCAAAACGTAACTGTCCCATGTCTCTTTTCCTCTTTTCAAGGGTAATCTAATACAGTAATCTGAGTTGGTAATGATCAACAGTGGCTGTCACTATCTCCTAGACATTCACACTCTGGCACGGATGTTTTAAAGAATGGGCCATGGGCATCTCAGGTTCCACAGGAAGCTGCGGGAGGAGCACTGAGGCAGAGGAGCCTGTCCTGCTGTGCTCACGCCACGCCTCTCCCATCTACAGGCCACGAAAGGCTATCATGTCCTGCCTCAAAGGCGAAAGATCATCGCTGCTCCCGCTGGAGTCCATTCTTCCTTCTCCTTCAGGCCATCTCATCAGCCCAGCATCCGAGAAGGGTCACGGCAATCCAGAGTGTCTCCGCTCAGGCATTAGTGACATTTGGTGCTGGATTATTCTATGTGCGGGGATTGTCCTGTGCAGGACTTTTGGCAGCATCCCTGGCCTCTACCCACTAGGTGCCAGTAGCATCCACTTCTCAGTCATGGCAGTTAAAACTGTCTCCAGACATTGCCACTTGTCTCCTCCTTTGCTGGTTAAAACTGTCAAACAAGTAGAATAGTTTACGGTAATTGCATCTGATTAAATTGGTATAAATCATCGTGAAATATGTTTTCTTTGCTTCATGTTAGTTATTCACATACTGACAAAAGTTTAATAAAAGAAATGACTTATAACAAAATCACTCCTGGCTGAGAACCACTGCCCTGAGCCTACCGCGTCTAATGGGTCCCCTGGTAGGAAAAGCTAGCAAACCAAGAAATATGCATGATTCACTACCTTTAATGTTCACCAGTGAGGTGTAGTGAAGCAAACTAAAATGTATCCATCTGAAAGATCATTTTTAAATGATAAATCTTCGTGTAAACATTTGTACTCAAAAACAACTTTGAGGGGGAAAATTCCCAATAAGAAAAGACAAGCAAAATTTAAAAAAACCTTCATAACCTAAAATCACATTAAAAAGGCAAACTACAAAAACTTACACACCCCTATGAAAAAAGAATTATTTAAACATCTGATTGATGAGGACTTCAAAATTACTGGTAAATCATTTTTCACTTAAACTTGTGTGAATTAGTATGTAAGTAATTAACATAAAGAAAATGTATGCTTCATGATGATTTATGCCAATTTTAATAAGATGCAACTACCTTACAATATTGTTTGTTTGACCATTTTAGCCAGCAAAGGACAGAACGCACTTAGGAAACAACAAATTCATGTTTGGCTTCTTCTTTTGGCTTCTCCTCCTGGCTCCCTCGGTGTTTGGTTGGGAAAAACAACCCCTTTGGAGGAGGAGGGACCCACTTCGTGGAGTCACACCATCCCTTCATTTCCCCCGGGGCGGGGGACTGGGTCGGGAATCTGCTTGAAAGATATTTGTTGACCTGAACTTACCTCAGACTTCAGTGTGGTGGTTTGAGGGCTGCCACCTGGAGCGTAATGGGTTTCTGTGTAGGCTGGAGCAAAAAGGTGCCTGCAAAGAGTAACAACAAACATTTATGTCCTGAGGTGATGGACTCCACCCTCCTGGAGACAGCCACAGGCCATTCTAACTGAAGCTGTCAGAACCACTTCGGGCTGAGGAAGCCATAAAGGCCTAAGGAACAAAAAGGAAACCAGGAGGGAGTTTGTTGTGGATTTTACATTCATGGGGATCATCATCTAGGTCAGACACACCAGACAGAGTCAACAGAACTAAAGCAGTGGACCTCACTTTTGCCCGGCCTTGGGAACATACACATGCAAACGCACACTCAAAATCCCCAGGGTCTATGGGCCCTATTGTGTAACTGGATCGACTTTTCCAGCACTGCCTCCACCAGCTTTTAGTACCAGCACAGCAATTTTTCCTTAAGGGAATACCTCTCCCCTGTTGCATGTTTTGGTGAGATTGTCAATCAGTGTCTTGTCTAGCTAGCCCTGGCTAAGGGTGGCCCACCATCCAAGCTAAGCCAATGGCGTAATGTTGCAAGACCTGAACAGATAAGATGGGAGAAATCATCTGTTGCTTTGTTCCTGTTGCACGGATTCCAGGAGCTGCCGTGGCCTGTCATTTCTGAGACC